CAGTTGGTGAGGTCTCAGTATCATTCAAGATGCAGTTGGATGCTGTTTTCCAGGCCTGGGAAGCAGCTTTCCCTCCCAGACAGCTCCAATCCACACTGGCACCATCGTGGGCATCGTCCTGGCCGTGCTGCTCCTCGCAGGCATCATCCTGGCTGGGATCTACATCAGCAGCCACCCCACGTCCACTGCTGCCCTCTTCTTCCTCGAGGTGAGTGGCAACCTCATCATCCAGCAGGGGCAGGAAAGGGCTAGAGCACACGGGGAAGGGCTGAGGGAGTTGGGGTTGTTCAGCCTTGAGCCTCATGGCTCTCTGCAAACTCCCTGAAAGAGTTGGGGAGAGGTGGGAGATGTGTCTCCTGCCAGGGCTGCAAGGAGAGGACTAGAGGGAATGGCCTTGAGCTGAGCCAGGGCAGAGGCAGATTGGATGTTAGGAGAAATGTTTTCCCTGTCAGGGTGTTCAGGCACTGGGATATTGCCCAGGGAGGTGGTGGAGTCACCATCCCTGGAGGTGTTTCAGAGGTGGCTGGATCTGGTGGTGGAAGGTTTAGGGGTTACAGCAATGACAAGTTAATGGTTGGACTTGATCTTAGAGATCTCCTCCAACCTTGATGGTTCTAAGTTTCCATGATCCCTGGTGGCTTTTCCCTTCCTTTGCCATCCACACAAATCCCAACCTTCCAGAGAAGAGCAGAGAATCATAGAATCATAGAATCAACCAGGTTGGAAAAGACCTCAAAGATCATCAAGTCCAACCCTAAAGTGATGAGAACCTTGATAAGTTCATATCACAGCTCCTTTTCATGGTCCTACAGTCACAGCTATCTCCCAACCTCCAGCTGATGATGTTTAAACTTAGCCTCTCTCCTTCCCACACTGTTTTATTTTGTTCCCTTTCACACATTGCCTTTTTTCCCCCATGGAATGTGAGGCTCTTCCACCTGCTCCATGAGCAGCCAACACAGAGCCCTGGAGGGCTCTGCTGAATTGCTCAGCTGGGGTTTGTGGACTAAAATCACCAGCCTTTGCTGCTAGATGTCTCAGCTGCTGTGGGGATGCTCTACATGGAGCAATTTAATTCCCAGGATGACAGGGGGTCCTGCAATTCCATCTGCTGCTGAAGCCAGAGGAGCACATGGGGTCGA